GACAGATGCAACCTTTTTTCATTCGGTGTTATGGAAATATTACAATGCTCCATATCACACTTTTTCAAAATCTCAAGATCATACTTCCTTTGGTGCATAAGCAACCCCGATTTTGACTTATGAAACTCTATGCCAATAAAGTAAGTCGTGATTCCAAGGTCACTCATTTCAAACTCTTCTATAAGCTCACTCTTGAACTTAGAAATATTCACTTCATTGTTGCCCGTAATTAATAAGTCGTCCATATATAAGCAAAGTATAATCACTTCTTTGCTTTCATTTATCTTCACATAAACACCATGTTCGGATACACACTTCTTGAATCCAACCTCAACTAGAAATGCATCTATGCATTTTATCCAAGCTCTAGGTGCTTGTTTAAAACCATAGAGTGTCTTTTTCAATTTGTAGACTTTTCCCTCTTGATTATTCAACACAAGACTAGGGGGATTCTCTACATTGACTTCCTGCTCAAGTGGACCATTCAAAAATGCATATTTTACATCCATTTGATACATTGACCAATTATTACTATTCGCAATACCATTACCAATCGTATAGTCTCCAATCTAGCCACCTGAGCAAATACCTCATCATAGTCTATACATCCTCTTTGCAAAAATCCCTTCGCAACTAATCGAGCTTTACGCTTGACAATTTCGCCTTTTGGATTTGCCTTCACTTTATAGACCCATTTCACTCCTATTGTCTTTTCCCATTCCGGTAAATTGACCAGTTCCTAACTACTATTTTTATCAATTGATTTCAGCTCCTCTTTCATCGCACACACCCACTTTGACTTTCTTAATTCCTCCTCCGTGCTCACGGGCTCGGATTCGGCCATAAGCGTAAAGTGAATAAGATCACCATCATTTTTTATCTCATTATCATGGAATACTTCACAATCTTGGAGCCTTTGAAGTAGACCTCTGTGTCTTGTTGGTCGTCTACTGGATTCACCATTTTTGAATTCGACTCGTTGTGGAATTATTTTTGTAGGCTGCTGACTTTCTGCATTTTCTGGTGGAAACTGGTTTCCAGGAATAGGGGAACCGGTTTCTGCTTCTGGAAACTCAATTCCAACTGCTTCAGAATGTAAAAATCACGGAGGAAACCGGTTTCCTTCTATAGGGAAACTGGTTTCTGCTACTGAACTGTGAGTTTTTCTGCTGTCAAATAGCCTCAACTTGTCCACGACCACATACTGATTGATCATAATCTTCTTGCTACTCACATAAAATAATTTGTAGCCTCTAGTAGGATGATAACCAACTAGCAACATTATCTCTCCTTTATCATCCAACTTCTTTCGAAGCTGACCCGGAATATGTCAAAATGCTATCGAACCGAAAACCTTCAAATGACTCAAACTTGGTCTATGACCAGACCATACCTCTTATGAGTCACTTTGTCTAGCTTCTTAGTAGGGCACCTATTCAAAAAATAGGCGGCTGTAGATACAGCTTCACCCCATAGTTCCTTCGGCGAGCTTCTTCCCTTCAACATGCTACGAACCATATTCATTATCGAATTATTTCTTCTCTCAGCAACACCATTTTGTTGAGGCATATAAGGTGGTATAACCTCATGCACTATACCCTCAACATCATAATAATTCCCAAACTCACTCGAGCTATACTCGCCTCCACCATCAGTTTTGAGAATTTTCAACTTATGACCACTTTGCCGCTCTGCCATGGAATTAAAATGTTTCAACACATCGAACACCTCATTTTTCCTCTTGATTAGATAAATCCATAGCTTCCTACTAAAATCATCATTGAAAGTGACAAAGTACATATTTCCACCATACGAGTCAACTTGCATTGGTCTAAAACATTCGAATACACCACCTCAAGATTATGAATGGTTCTATGGCCTGAATATTTGCTGAAACTACCCTTGTGTTGCTTCGCTTGAACACACTCATCACATATCTCAGCTGGAACATTGATCTTTGGCAGCCCGGTAACCATACCATTCCTTTGCAACGCGTCAAGATCACGAAAATTGAGATATCCAAGACGGTAATCCCACAACTAATCATTACGACTTGAATTTGTAGCAAGACAATTGTGCTCCATCACTCTCAACTCTATCTTGAAAGTAAGATTTGCAGCCTTGGGTGCTCTAAGAATTAAGACTCTGCTTCGGTCCAAAACACGCAGAATCTTGTTTTTCATACGAATTATGTAATTCTTCTCAAGCAATTGGACAATGCTCAAGAGATTAAATTTAATTCCAGGAATGCATAACACACCTTTTATCAAGGAGTGACTCCCATCCTCCTTCATGAGCAAAACATCACCACACCATCGACCGCTAAAGTGGTGTCATCCGCGAATTTTACTATATTCTTCTTGGCTTGATTAATTTTGACAAACCAATCTTTTCTACTCGTCATATGTTTTGAACAACCAGGATCCAAGTACCACTCATCACTTACTTGAGCTCCATCTTGAACGGCTACCATTGTGTTTCGCTCTGAACGCGTTTCTGCAGAATTTTTTGCACTGTAGACACTGGTGCCCAGCTTTTGACAACTGCTACTGCTTCTATCCAGTAGCTTTTCCATGCCATAATTCTCCTCTGTAATCGTGACAAGAAGTTTATTATCATCATCCACCTCTTGTATTTCTACCTTAGCCTCATCACCTTGATTTTCCTTCAATTTCACATTATATTTTCTTGCGAAATGTCCAAGTTTGTGACAATTGTAACACTTTACACCACTCTTGTCAATCTTTTTGGCATGGTTACCTTGACTCCCACCTTTGGAGCTGCTCTCTACCTTTTGCGCCATCGAAGCCTTTGAATTTTATGACTTTTTGCCACCAAAATTCTAAGAATTTGTCTTCCCTTTTAAAGACCATTTTCCTTTCGATCCCTTGTTCTTTTCATTGAATCATGCTTGTAACACAATCTCCGCTTTGGCCTTGTCACTTCCTCTTTCATTCATCCTTTGTTCATGAGCCACTAATGAGCTTTGAAGCTCCTCCTTTATCATTGTAAGAAGATTCTTTGATTCTTCTATTGTAACCAATATGTTGTCAAATCTTGGCGTTAAAGAATGCAATATCTTTGCTACCATATTTTGCATCATCACGGTTCCATCGTAAGACTTCATTTGATTCACCAAATTCATTATATGCGTAATGTAATCATTTAGTGATTCCTTCTCTTCCAATTTCACTAATTCGAATTGCCTCTTGTGAGTTTGTAACCTCACAACCTTCTCTTTATCGGACCCTTCAGTATCTTTCTTCAAGATATCCCATGCTTGGTTCGTCGACGTGCTATCTCCAACCTTTTCAAAGTTAGCATTGTCGACGCAAGAATGTATCAAGAAAAGTGATTTGTAGTCTTTCTTCTTCTCTTCCTTGAATGTAATTTGTTGTGAAGTTTTATCTTCTACCCTAAGAGGTGTAATGCCATTGTTAACTACTTTGAGAACTTCTTGATACCCAAACAAAACATTCATTTGTTTGCACCATTTGTCATAGTTCTGGGAATCAAGAATTGGAAGGTTGGTAGGGGTTCGATCACTGGAAACGGTAGATGAAGTTGGTGAAAATGGTTAACTGGAGAAGATGAAGTTGAGAGATAAAGATGGAGATTATGAGAGAGAGAGAGAGAGAGAGAGAGAGAGAGAGAGAGAGAGAGAGAGAGAGAGAGAGAGAGAGAGTCATTGAGAAGAAAATTATTTATTGGAATTAACATCAAATAATATTACAAGATGGTATTTATAGGATACATATAAAACACACATAAAAACAAATTGTCTGAAAACAGCCTAAAAATACAAAATTATCGCGCCAGAAATCGGTTTCCTAAAACAGGGAAACCGGTTTCCTCAACTAATAAGCAATTTCCTGAAACTGAAATACATAGCAGAAGTCGGTTTCCTCAAACTAAGAAACTGGTTTCCTCTTTGAAACTTTGAATTTCTGCACAGGCCCAGAGCAACTTTTTCAAATAAGCTATTTTCCAAAACAGCTTCCAGAGCCTTCCAAAGAGCATTTGACTTAAACATAACATCCAATAAAAATAGTTTTCCCTCATTGTCAAATCAACCGAGAAAATAAATCATAAATAAAAAATTTAAAAAATAATCAAAAATGTAGTTTTTGGAGTTCGAAGGGGTTGGTCAAAACTGTTCTCCTCGATTTCCAGCTTAACTGAGAGAATATGTCATAAATAAATAAAACATACGTTAAAATGTAATTGTTGGGATTCAAAAGGGGTTGATCAAAATTTTCCCCTCAATTGACAACTCAACCGTGAAAATAATAGTATTTTATTTTAATTTTTTTGAAATATGACACGCATATGATTTACATCTCGGTTGTTCATTGATTGAGGTGAAAATTTTGTCACAAAATAAAATATTTGTTGTAGTGAAAATAACTAAGTAACATTATAATAAATATTAGAAAGGAGGAGACGATGTTGTAGAAAGATAGGTAGCTTATAGGAGGTCTTCTTTGCGATAATTTTAGTAGACTTGTTCAATTATTAGTAGAGAATAATAATTCTTGTTGAGATGAACATGTTGTGGTTGGTGGAGTCTTGACAGCGGTGGTTGGAAGTGATATCAACTTTTTTGTGGGAGTAGATAATGTTATAAATACAGAGTTAAGATCTTCTCTTTTTTTCTCCATTTTCTTTCTATTATTATAGTTTGGAAGACATTTATAGTCTATTAAAAATAAATAGATCCATCAAATGTTATTAGAAATAGAGGTTATTACATATAAGTCCTAGTGACATAGTAGTATATATACTTGTAACCTCTTCATTAGAAGGATACTTTTTCACTCATTTATAATATTCTGTTTTGATCGATATAAAGAGTTGTAGCTTTTCTCTCCATATTTCCATGGATTCCATGTTTACTAACATGGTATCATAGCTAATATGGTATCCATCGTGAAGAAACTTTTTCTGCTGTATTTTTTCTTAAGAAAGTCCATTTGTGAATTTTTTCCAAGAAACTTTTCTTAAGAAACTTTCGGTTCAATTTCTTGATCGGGTTTTGGGTTCCTTTTTTCCAAGATCATTAGTATCAAATGAGTTCCTTTTTCATCTGATACAACATTTATCATCTTTGATTTCTTGCTTTGCGAATCTCGTAATTCCACTTTGCCTTTACAGCACTTTTGTTTTGAGATCCAAGATACATGTTCACTTGATTTTTTTTGTTTTAGATTTCTATTTCTGGTACTGGTGTTGCGATTGACAATGTCCGCATCAACTTTCATGTGTTACGATTTGAAAATGTCGACACCAAATTTCCAATGTTGATTACTATTGTGTTCATCTTGAATAATTTCATCTTGGTGACTGAGGAACGATGAAGATTACGATCTATTATCATTTATGGTTCACAAACATCTATATAGAGGTTTGGATCTAAATACTCTTTTTATTTGCACCTTTAATTTGGATATGAGACAATAGCTTGATACTTTTCTTGTTATGTTTTCTGCCATAATTTCTCTAGTTTTTTGGAATTACTTACTCAGCACAAGAGTTCATTATCGTTGCGGATTGCCCCGGATCTCTATTTCAATGTGTGGTGTTGTTAGTTGTATTACACCAATTTCTGATTGGAATCACTCGGATTTCATATAGTACGACAATTATTAATTTGTTTTTGAAGTTTAATCAGTGTTATGATATGGATCTTCTTCAAGTTTTGTTCTCTAAACTTTACGCCAGTCTGCATATATTGAGAAGGGTTTGTAGATATTTGGTACTCCCTTTGTTTTATCAATTAAGCATGGTTTAATATTTGAAATGCTTAACTCCATTTGTGAATTTCGTCAAGTTGGATTGGGATTGTTTTGGTCTTGTTGAATCAACTGCCAACATTAGTAGCTTAACTTGTTTGGACCCCCTGTTGATGTTGTGAGCCAAAGGTTGACGATTCAAGGTGTATGTAATTCAAGTGCTCATTTGGTTCTTCTATTAGATTGGTTAATGAATAATGTTGGTTGCACATTAACTACTTTCTCCACAAGAATAAAGATTGAAAAATATATTTGAATTGATATATTGGTGAATGCATCTTTGTACTATAAGGAGTTTTTCTTTCCAACAGTGGCTGCAACAAGGTTGCATATTTTGTACTTCTTCCATTTGTTTTCTGTTGTTGATGATGTATAGTTTCATTGGCTTATGATTCTATGATTAAATCTTTGTATGAGAACCAATCCAAGAAAATAAAAACACTCGATTTCTCCATAATATTGAAGTTTGAAGACATGTTTTTTATTGTAACTCTTTAATGATCGTGTATCTTTGTTGCTGCTAACTGATACTGGATTTTTGGTCCACTTTGATGACTTATTATGACATGTTTTCCCTACTATTCCATCTGAATTTTTTGAAGATTGAAGATAGTTTTGGTTATGGGATACACTTTTTTGTTTCCTTGATGGTGCTTGTTGTACCCCAAAATTTTCCCTCCCTTTTCTTCAAGACATTTCTCACAAAAAATTCTCAAATGCTCAAGGATTCTCAAAGAGTTGATCAGACAAGCTCACCTCCTAAGCAATGGGTCCAAAACTAGGGTTTCTGTTTCCTCAAGGAAAATTGGACTTCTAATGCCTCAAGTGGCTTTCATGGTTCATCATAGGTCTCTAAGAATGTTCATGCCAAGTTTTAAGTCTTGCATCACAAATTTGCTCAGTCAATTGCTCAGATGACTGAAAATCAATTGTATTGGATTAAAAGTCAACTGTGGTCAACATATAATCAATATTCAAGATTTTTCGTCAAAATCGACATTTTAAAGTCATATTCATCATTGGATCAAGGGTTGGTCATAATTCCTCAAGAAAAACCCTCAGATCACCAAAGGGGCAAAATTGTCAAAATTAGGGTTTTGACTGAGAATGACTGATCAATGACTTTTGACTGAGAATGATTGATCAATGACTTTTGACCTAGTACATGACCTAATGACTTGAAGCATTATCTCAAGGTCTCAAACATAATATCTTGACCTAATTACATGTTTCAAAACATTTCTAAAGATCAATTGATTGATCGTTGAAATTTGAAACAATTGATAAAAGGTCAACTGGCACACAAAAAGTCAAACTTTGACTTTTTGGTCAACATTGAACTTCAAAGATCAAGAATCATCAAAACATTCAAAAATATCAAATTTGATCATTAAGAATCAAAGAAAGTCAACAAAAGTCAAAAGTTGGAAAATTATCCAACACTTAGAAAAAATTTCTAAGTGTTCTTGTTCTTAATAAATTCACTACTTCATGACCATTTTTCACTAAGATGCAAGATAATTCAAGGAAAACTTTCAACATGAAATTTGTAGGGAATGAGGAATTCTACACTTTTTTCCTTGAGGGTTGATGTCCAAAAAATGCTTGGATTAGGAGATATATTCCCATGAAGTCATGACATTTTTATCTAACACTTAGTAAAATTTTCAACAAGTTTGGTCAGATTTTTATCCCAATTTCTTGGCAAATTTTCACTAACTTCCAATTTGATTTAGCCAAAGTGGTCAACATGAAAGTTGTAGACAATGTTTCAAGATTTCCAAAATGTCCAAGAACAAAATTTTATCATGCTTGAGCAAGGATATTCGAAGAGATGAAGTTGGGCATCCATTCTTGAAATACAAGTCATTTTGTGATGAACATGAGATCAAATCTCCAAGCCATGCTGCATAAATCTTGATTTACAGGCTTCTAACTTGCAAATCTCACCATAATTAAATGTTTACACAACTGATTGAATCATTATCCAAGTGATTCAAGCATTGTCCAAGGCATCATTCTATTAATGGCACAAAGTTCACACTTCCATTTTGGAAAAGTTTACTTTAATCACTTTGTCAACTCTCCTTGAGCCTCTCACTTGTTCCCTCTGCACACACTCCACACAAAATCCAAAAGCAACATGTTTAAAGTGTCTAACCACTTTAGATTGTCTTGTACTTCATATTAGAGCCATGTTCTTCATAGTTGCTTCATAACTAAGTAACCTAGCCATAACATGTGATCTTATAAACCAAGTGCTCTCATCCTCTAAAACATTTTATCTACAAATAGAGATGTCATTTGCAAGACAAGACACGAATTCACAAGTTCCCAAAACCTCTCAAACTCAGAATCACCACAAAAACTTCCATAAGTGCATATCTTAGGCCTTATACAACCAACTCCAAATCTACTCATGAATTTTCCATTTCAATCATTCAAACATCATCTAGACACCATATAGAAGTGATCTCAATACTTGAACTACTTCTGTAATCCCTCCATCACCATCCACCATTTTCAAAATCCACCATTGCAGCTTGACTTGGTATGATTAGTTGGGAAATCTACAAGGCATTCTATCAATTGGAATAGCTTCATTGAGGTCCAAGCAAGCTCACCAAATCATCCTTTCACTTCTAGAAGTCGTGTAGAGGGCATTCAGATTTCGTGTCAAGAGGTAAGTTTACTAAACTTTGAAATCTTGATACAAGCATCATTTGCACTTGCTTTCTAAAGAAAAAATGTAGATATCATGTCTATGAAGCTAACCATGCCTTTAATTTTCATTTATATTTCTTGTGTGTTTGGAATTTGATCTCTGACCATTTAGGTCATATTTTTGGTACCAAACAAAATTAATCTTATTCTTTGATCTTTAGCTTTTGAAAGTTACATGGTTGAAATCGTGGTGAAAAATCAAGCATTTTTCATGTTTACATTTTTCAAAATGGATGAGAAATGAAGGAGTTACAGAATCAAAAATAGAGTTGTTGTTCTTGGCGCGCGCGAGGAATAAGAATATAACTTGTTCAAATATTTGAGACTAGTTTATAATATATTTATTGGTGGTTGTTTCATAACCGAATGAAACATCCACCCAAGTGGTAAAGGAAGCGCGCGCGTATTATAGGGACCTAGGTTCGAGCCCTAGCGGTACCCTGTTATTTTTCACATATTTTGTTCTTGCATATTCAATATTATAATACGGTGGGAGAACTGACTTGGGTGTTTTGCGTTTGATCATAATTGTTGCGGATAGCAAGAGTCGCCACCGACTTTTATTTTATCCATTAAAGGAAAGGGTGAAAAGAACAGGAAAGACCTTTTGAGAATTTTCTTGAGTTCGAGGGGTAGATTATGAAAAGGGAAGGTGTTAGCACCCTTTTCATCTGTAGTTTCCTATGGGCTCTTAGTTACTAGCTCACTTTGAAAATGCTTTGTTTTGAAATGTGTTTGTGATGGGTTTTAAAAGTATTTCTGAAAAGTTCCATCGTTTAGGATAACTTTGTAATGATTCTCGTCTCTATAAAAATGTATACAAAGTGTTGAATTTTGAAAATGTTTCGTTTTTAAAAGTGTTGGTGTGTTTGAAAGATGTTGTTTTTGAAAATATTGTGAGCAAGCAACTATGAACGTTCTACCTACTCAAAAGGTCTTTGTTGTTTTCTTCCTCCTTTAGATGTTGTTATCTTACCATTGATTGGTAAGAAGCCCTATTATTGGATGTGAAGGGACAGGAGTGGGTCAAGCGTACAGTCATAGAAAGCAACTTGTAAAACGCTTTAGAAATTTTTATAAAGGACTAAGATCATTTTACCGAAGGCAACATCGAAGGGACATCGAGGGACTACGATCTTTTTTTTATCGAAGGGTCTTTTCTAAAGCATCCCACATTCGAGGGGCATGACTATTTTTCCGAGGCAACAAGCGAGGTTACCCTAGAGGTGCGCACGTGAAAAGTGTGTTTGATTCAAGTTAATTTGTCTTTGATTAGGTTTGTCTAGCGGTTGATTTTATGTCTTTCCATACATGCCTAATTACTATGTAGTATAAAGAAAAACAGTAAATTGCGGAAATTAAAATTCTATACTATTACAGAGCTTTCGGGGATGGGGATTACAAATTTACAAATGGGGGATGGATCGAATCAACAATGCGAAAAAGTCTAAATAAGCAATCAATACAACCCAATCGAAATGAAAATAAACAGTTAATTAAACTATTAAATAAGAATAAATGGAAAAATAATTGAAATAATATTTTTGGTACTTTTGTTTGTAGGAGAATTTGAAGGGTAAATAAAACATATTCTAGAAAATAAAATGATTGACTAAAAGAAATTAAATCATATTTTGGTATTTTATTTTTTATATCATGAAGAGGTTAAACAATTTAAAAGAATGTTAACTAAAAAAGGTTAATTAATAAGATTATTCACAAAGTCCTAAACTAAAACTAATTAAGAAAATAAATTAATTTTGAAATGATATATTTTTATTTAATTAAATTTGAAAATTAATACTAAATATTAACAAAATTAAATCTAAACTAAAATTATTAAAATAATTCTAAACTAACTTAAAATTCTAAGTAATTAAGTTAAACCTAAACTATTCTAATTCTAAGGTTATTAAATAAAATCTAAACTAATTTAAGTACAAACTAAATTAATTATAAATAATATGCAAATTTAAATCCAAACTAAATTAACAAAATTACTTATTTAAAGTTTGACTAAATTACTTAATATTACTAACTTAAACCCAAATTCTAAGAATATCAAAACAACTGTATACTAAAAAAAATCTCAAGTTATTAAAACAAATCTTAAACTAACCTAAAAATAGTAAAAGAAGTTGCAAATAGAAAACTAAGGGGGTGATGCTGGAAATTCACTGATGGATTTTAAGAGATAGTAAAGCATATTGGGCCAGGAGTTAGTAGACAAAAAAACAAAAAAAAATTATGTATTAGGCTAAAAAAACGGACCGGG